GCCACCCCCCCCCACGCACCCAGTGCCACCTGCTCCCATGCACACAGTGCCACCCGCTCCCATCCATGCAGCGCCGCCCGCTCCCACGCACACAGTGCCGCCCGCTCCCATCCATGCAGTGTCACCCGCTCCCACGCACACAGTGCCACCCGCTCCCATCCATGCAGTGTCACCCGCTCCCACGCACACAGTGCCACCCGCTCCCATCCATGCAGTGTCACCCGCTCCCAAGCACATAGTGCCACCCGCTCTCATCCATGCAGTGTCGCCTGCTCCCACGCACACAGTGCCACCCGCTCCCACTCAGACAGTGCCGCCCGCTCCCATCCATGCAGTGCCGCCCACTCCCATGCACACAGTGCCACAGCCCCACCTGGGCTCTGCAGTGGGCCCTCACACATTGCCACAGCCCCCTCCGTACTGTCCAGGCTCTGCCACACTCCCACACAGTGTCATGGGCCCTTCCTCCTTCTCTGCCATGCTCTTCCCAGGCTGCATAGTGCCACCTGCTCAATGCCACAGTCCCCCTCTGTGCTGTGCAACAGGCCCCCCTGCAATGCCACCCCTCCCACCCACACAGAGCTAGGGGTACCCCCACACTAGTGCTCTGCCACAGGGCTCCCCTGTGGGAAGGTGAAGGCAACAGACCCTGCTCCCCGGCGTTTGGCAGATGCTCGGCTCCTGATGCCCCGCTGTGGAGGCAGTCAGTGCCAGCCAGGGAATGGATGTCAACACCCCCCCACCCTCGTCCACAGCCCAGGCCCACGTCTGACCCGCTGCTCCTCTCGTCCCGCTCCAGCACCCCCTCCCCCAGCCATGTGGCACCCTGGAGCCGAGGGCACCTAACCCATCTGCTCCCCCCTCCTGCCAGCACTGACCAGCCTCTCTCCTTTCCTCTCTAGGCTGGGTGGAGAAGGAGACGTATTACTGAGCCCAGGTCTGGGCTGACCAGGCGGATCCTCTCTCCGTGTCCCCGGGGGGAGGGCGCTGCTCCGCCCAGGCCACCTGGCATCACCGCAAACCTTAGTGCTTAATGGGGAGGGAGGGAATCAGCAGCACACCTGTCCTGTGTAGATTTAATGCGTAGGCACTAACCTTGCTGGGTCGAAGGGACAGGACCCCGGAGCCCTGCCCCAGCTGCCCGGCCACACACGCTAGCTAGGCAGGAGCGAGGTGGAGCAGGCCTGCGCCCCAGGGGCTGGGAGGTGTCTCGATCTAGACACAAAGACCCTGGAAGAGGCGATAGGGGAGAGAGGGGACCCAGGGTGCTCTGAGGGGCTGGGCTGGACCCAGGACTCTGCCTTGGCCCTGCTCTAGGGAGTCCCAGCCAGACTCTGGGGAGCCAGCACCCTTGGCCAGGGAATGAGGACTCATGAACATGAGGGGGGCATGTAGGGCCCTGGTGTGAGGGTGAAAGATACCCCAGCCCCAGGTAGGGTGATGCTGGCAGAGCAGGGAGTGGGGCAGGGCTCCTGCACATGTTCAGCATTTGCCTTTTGCAAAGGCAGTCACCCTGCCCCAGGCCTGCCCTGCAGGGGCTCCCCACGGCTGCGAGTGGCTCCCCGGCCTCCACATGACACAGAAGCGGGGGGGGCTTTGCTGGGGCAGAAGAACTGGGGTCTGCCCGGGGAGAGGGTCCGGTCACTGCCCTGGGCTGGGGGGAGGGGACAGGGAGTCTGGTCACTGCCCTGGGCTAGGGGTGGAGGGGCAGTGAAGCCCCCAAAAGTAGGCGCCTCCTGTTTTGAAGACGTGCAATAAAATAATTTAACCCTTCCTGCCTCAGAGTTCCTTCAGCTCAGCCTGGGGAGCAGGGACTAGAACATGGGACTTGGCCCCTGGCTCCATCACCTCTGCCTCTGGGTTAATGGGGAGCACATGAGGCAGGGCTGCTCACCCCAAACAGGGCTAAACTCAAAATAAGCTACGCAACTTGAGCTATGCTAATTGAGTAGCTTACGTCGAAATAGCCGATTTCGAATTTGGGCACGTCTACACAGCACTTCCTTTGAAACAGAGCCCTCTTCCTCCAACTTCCCTTGCTCCTCGTACAATAAGGGTTATGGGAGTCAGAGTAAGAAGTCCTCCAGCCGGACAGTATTTCGACATTATTTCGAAATAACTGCTTGTTGTGTCGACGCACGCTTTGCTATTTCGAAATAACGGTGGTGTGTAGATGTGCCCTATACGAAGCAGTGGCTTAAGAATCCTGCTACATGTGTGTACGCTGTATGGCTCTGATTTACACCTTTCAAAAGTCCAAGTTCACCAAATAGTGACTAGTCCATTGCAGTTTTCCACCGCTCTCACTAGGCCCATCGAGGCTGCCATACTGCGGCTCAGAAGGTTTCCGCCCTTTGATCACATGCACGCTGAATGCAAAGCTTTTGCCTTTATATGTTGTTGCTGTGGTCAATTGGCCCCTGCAGTTCAGAATCCCTCCAGAAATAGTCTGGACTAGGCTTCAGCTCTGGGAGGGGTTGAAGGTGGTTGTAGGACCCTTCTGAGGCTATGTCTAGATTACGGGGGTTTTCCGGGTTACCTCCGGTATTCTGGAAAAACTCCGCCACATCCAGGGAATGCATCTGCTCTTCTTCTTTTTTTGCAGAGGAGCAGACGCACTCTTTCGGAAGCTCTGTCTTCCTCCTCCCCCAAGGAAGAAGGGCTCTCCCGAAAGAGGTTTTTTCCGAAATTTGGCCCAGTATTTTGGAAAACCTCTTCCAAAAAAGCTATCGGAAAAAGGTACACAGATTGCAGAGTGTAATTTGCGTACCTTTTTCCGATAAAGCCCCGTAGTCTAGACATAGCCAGAGCTGATTGTGACATCAGCTCCTGAGTCAATTTTAAACTCAATAGTCTTCCCAGGAATATTCAGTTTTACTGGCCAGGCAGGCTCTGTGTCTTCAAAGGTTATAGATCCCAGGAACAATGGCTCTTGATGGTCTGTGATATGAGTCTACTCCCGGAGTGCTTTGGTGTGGTAAAGAGCTGCAGAATGTCCATATTTCATGCATTCATTGCTCCATGTGCCTCTGGTTGGACATACATCATCTCTTGGGATATGGCTTTTTCCTTATCTTGTGGATGTAGGTTGGAATTTCTTCCCTCTTAGCCTGGGAGTTCTCTCTTCTTGCCTTGGGTGTCCTATGAAAATGACTTAGCACTCACGTTACATCTGTTAACAGGTTCTAAGCTAGTTTCTTGTTTTTCAAGTTTAGCAAGTTGCTCTTGGTTTTATTGCCTCACCATCTGTGACTGTTTTGCTATTTGAATAGCTGTGGCTACAGTCAAATCTCTCTTCAACTGTAGCTGCTGTGAAATGTTATTATTATACATTAACCCAATAATCCGCCTTTCTCTGAAATTTTCATGTTTTGCATTCCCAAAGTGACAGTGTCTGTAAAGCTCTGATAAAAAATTCAACATTTTCCCTTGGTCTTTGAATTCTCCGAGGGAAATATGCTCTTTCGTAAACCACTTTTTTCTGAGGGATAAAATATGCATCAAACGTATCAGACCCTTTCATTTGTGACTATCTTCATTGAACTCAACAGATTTAGAGATATGTTCTGCCTGCTTTCCCAGGTGCTAAAATAAAGATGAAATCTGCATATCCCCAGTTTATTGCTGCAGCTTGGTAACAATGCAGAATCTTGACAATTACAGCTTTCCATCTGTCCATTAGCTTCGGAGGTAGCCGAGTTAGTCTGTTACAGAAAAAAACAACAAATGGTCTGGTAGCACTTTATAGACTAACGAAACATGGAGATGGTGTCATGAGCTTTCGTGGGCACAGCCCACTTCTTCAGCTAGGCCCTGGAATCACAGTTCATCCACAAATTCAATTCACCTGCTAATGGACTCAATGGTGATATGGGCTGGTGGGGACACTACCTACTTAATACTCACGGAAGGTGCTAACAGCTCCCTGAGTGGTAGCCTTCCTGTCTTAGCGGCGAGGAGTCCTGTGTCATCTTATAGACTAACCGAAGTGTTGGAGCATAAGCTTTCATGGGCAAAGACCCACTTCGTCAGATGCATGTAGTGGAAATTTCCAGAGGCAGGTATAAATATGCAGGCCATGCATCTGACGCAGTGGGTCTTTGCCCACGAAAGCTTATGCTCCAACACTTCGGTTAGTCTATAAGATGACACAGGACTCCTCGCCGCTAAGACAGGAAGGCTACCACTCAGGGAGCTGTTAGCACCTTCCGTGAGTATTAAGTAGGTAGTGTCCCCACCAGCCCATATCACCATTGAGTCCATTAGCAGGTGAATTGAATTTGTGGATGAACTTCTTAGAAATCTATCTATTGACTTTGATTTTTATCTGCTTAGGTTTAAGTACCCATTCTCCAGATACTTAATGATGCTCTGTCTCCCACCCACCCTCTCCCTTTTTCTTTCTCTCCCTCTTCCCTTTCCCCTCTCCTATTTATTTCAAGTTTTCACATCCCAAACTCATAACTCCAGTCCTCTGAAGAAGTGGGCTGTGCCCACGAAAGCTCATGACGCCATCTATATGTTTTGTTAGTCTTTAATGTGCTACCAGACCATTTGTTGTTTTTGTCTGTCCATTGGGAAGGCTTGTCAAAGCTGAAATGCATTGAAAAGGGGTGTGCTGATGACATCCTGCCACCATTATTGCTGTTTTCTTCTTGTTTTTGTTCTTAGTTTACGCTTGACACCGTGCCATGTTCCGCTTTGCTAGATCTGGCCTGGCTACAGAGCTCACTTTTCCACCCCAAATGTAGTCATCGTAAGATCCCTTAATGCTCTGCCTTGGTCTCACTGAGCGTGGTTTAAATACAGTATTTTACACACCCTGCTACTTCACCTCTGAGCAGTCAAATACAATGTAGCATTGGGGTATGTGGGAGGGGTGGGGGATGGGGTTCCCCTCCCCCTTCAGTAATGCTCTTAAACCCCTCTGTTCCTATGCTCCCTGTGATGCTGTCACAGATAACCCCTTGGGGCAGTTCCCCGCTGTGCCGATTTAGCCACAGACTCTCATCTTCTTGCTCTCTGGGCTCCCCACCACCCTGTGCTGCTGTGCCAAATTCTCTGCTCTCCCCCAGTCATGGCACAAAGCTGGGGTAACCGCCCCTCCTCCCCCTGCAAAGAGCAAAGCAATCCCTGGGGCTAGCTCCCAGGAAACCAACCGCCAAAAAAGATCAAACCCCCAAATAAATCTGTCTTTCTCGGAGTAAAAGTTTTACACAAGGAAAGCCCATGAGGATGTTCACCCTCTTTACCAATGAAAAGGGACTATGTACAGTGATCCTTCCCCTAGATAACAATTATTTACCCAGGGCTTGGTAATAAACAAAGACGACTTTATTAGTACGAACAGCAGGAGTTAAGTGGCTGTAAGTGAAAAGAGACAAAGTAAATTACAGAATTAAATTTAAAAAAAACCCCACACACATAGGTAGCTCTAATTCACTAAAAACCTTATTACAAGCAGCCTCTTACGCTAAAGAGCTTGTTCTTATTTCAGGCCTGTCTTTAAGTCACAGCAATAGTCTAGCACGTGGGTTCCCAAACTGGGGGGCATGCCCCCCTGGGGGTGTGTGAAGAAATTCCAGGGGGGGCACGAGGCAACCTAGCCTCCCCCCATCAAGTTTTGCTGCCCTGTTCAGTTCCCTTTTTTTTCTTCTTCTTCTTTTTTGCTCAACAAGTTTTGCTGCTATTTGGGGGGGGGGGAGGCATGAGGGTTTTTCAAAAATCAAAAAGGGAGGCGTGATGCCAAAAAGTTTGGATAGCAGCACCTTAAAAGCCAAGGAAACATGTAGCTGGTATCAAGTCACAGCTGATTGTTTACTCTGAGTTGTGAACAAAGGGCTGGTTCCCTTTTGTTTCTCTTGAATCTTGAATGCAGGCCTCTCCCCAGGCTGGCCAAAGACAAAGGGACAGGCAGCTTCCCAGGGTTTTATAGATTTCACTCTGGGTGGGAATCTGTTGTTCTCTAGCCCCACCTTCCATGGAAAATTACCTGGTCAAACTGGTATCCTCCTACCAGGCAGTGTGGCTACATGTGTTCCGGGGTGAGGATCCTTTTTTGGGTTGGGGGCTGCTGCCCCACAGAAAAATCAGTCAAGGGCCGCACAGAAATAAGAAGCAAAAACACCAACCTCAAACCCTCACTGATGTGGCCCCAAAGTGAGAAGCAGAAAGATACTCCCCACATTCCCCT